TTTTTTTTCAGGAAAGGTTTTTTTCCTCATAATTTCATCAAGTTTAATAATGAGAAATGAATTTACATACTCAATTCACATATTGAATATGATTAATTAATATCCGACGCTATAGGCATTCTGCCCGACTTGTTCCCCCATCTTAATTCTTTATGCTCCTCAGTGAATAAATAATCATTGGGATTCTGCAAGCCAAAAATATATCCATACATTGATTGTGATTCTGCTATTAAGATATGTAAATTGAATATATGTTGGAAAGGATCTAAGTACATAAAAATGCCCCCTACTTGCATTTGAAAGTATGAAAAAATATCAGGAGACACATATACAAGGTTTTACATGTATTGTATAAAAAAGTAGGGGGTCAAATTTCTATTGGGGTCATTTTTCAACGTGTGTGGAGTCGAAGAATTACTGGTCTGGAACGTTTTTCTACAGTCGAAAAATGACCCTCCTTGTCGTAGAATTTTGACCCGGGGTCATTTTACTACGTAGAAAAATGACCCCCTGGTCAATATTCTACGGGGGTCACTTTTCGTCGTTACACCGGCCACCTTTAGTGCAGTGAGAACAAAATGTAAATATTTCTTCAAATGGCTAAAATACATTATATTTTGATCAAATTTAAAGTCCTTATGATAAAGATACAATAAATATGCATAACTGAATGCATGCATATATAATCTATACTTTTGCAGTCAAATGCATTTGATATGCTCCTTAGAACTGCGCAGCTACAGAATTCAGCAGAGCCTTAAATAAAACAAAAAAATATGCAAACTGTGCATCAATGTTCTTTCTGCAACCATTTGTTGAGAAAATGTTTAAATTTTGCTCTTTAAAATTATAATTTTAAGCTCAAAACAAGGTATCGTTGTCTTCAAAATGAGTGTAAAGAACCATGAAAGTAGTTCATGGATAGCAGCAAGTGGTCTATTTTTAGCACAGAATTTTGTTTTCCAGGGGCCCGTTTCACTAAAAGGCGTAAGATACGACCAAACTTAAGTTAGGCCTCGGGGCGTACGCCAAACTTTAGTCCGGCGTAAGTTGCGTTTCACTAAGAGACGTACGCCTGGCCGTAAATACTAGTATCGGACTAAGTTAAGGACGTTCGATCCTGATATTTTGAGCGTATTTCGCGCAGGTCCTTTATTCATAAAATTAAGCATCATTTTTAGGTTCTAACATTAAAATTGAATTCTACAATGCAAATTAAACTATAATTAATGAAAAAACCGCGATTAAATTCCATTCAAGTAGAATTAAGCTAGGGACTATATTTTGTGGCGGAAGGTTTTTTAGACGAAAATGATCAGTTTTTTTCCATTTGAACTACCGTATAACGGGTATTTTCTGCGGTTGTCCGATTTTTGCGGAATTTTGCGGATAAAACAAATCCGAAAAATTACAATCGCAAAATATTTTTAATATGACCAAGTATTTTATTTTATACATGCAAGTATAATAAGTGGTGCGTCTGCAGACTCATGCGTGGACGTGTCTTCGTTAGCGAGAAAAATCGGGTGACATCGAAACTTCGTGATAGCTACATGTACATATGAAATATGGTAATTTTTCTTTCTTATTTTCCAACTTTTCAATATTAATCCTGTGAATTGTCTTGAGACCGTGGTAAAAATGACTGCTTGTGTATACAACATGGCTTGTCTCGTGAATTTCATTCAAATCAGACGACTCGGACTGACAGTATTAGTTACGCCTCAATGCACGTGGCACGTGTGATTTTTGGGGTGGTTGGTTATGCAACTGTTTGTTTTAGCTTAGAATGAAAATTATTTTCAATTGGGGACTAGGCATAATTTTACAAAGAGTAACTAAAAGCTGTAGTAGTTTAATCAAGTATAATAGCGTAATACCTGTATTCATGCACCTTTCGAATTCATTCATGTGCCTGAGTGAATTTACAAAACGTAATCATGCCAGTGTTGTAATAAATCTTAGATTTTTATGATCCTATACTGTGCCCCGTAAATAATTTTTTGCAGTATAGTGCAACCGCAGAAATTGAAAACGCAAAAATTAATTTGCTACCTTTTAGGGGTTCAAGCGCAAAAATTTCCAACCGCAGAAAATACCCGTTATACGGTATAACAGTACTGTTAACTTTGGATGCCTATTTTTCCATGCTGGTTGCACATAAAGCTGTTTTTTGCAGTGAAATATGCTGAAAATCCGGGAAAAAATTGAGCCAACTTTAACGTAAAATTCACACTTTTTTAGTAATATCTGAAAATGTACATCATATACCCCAACTTTTGACGTTCTTTTCTAAATATTCAAGATAACTTTGACCTATTTGCTTAAAATCAGAAAAAGTTTAAGACTTTAAAATAATTTTCTTGCTTATTATATTTTCAATGCCGGAAAAATAACATTTTATTAGTGCAGAAAGGTCAAATAATTGATTGTGCGAAGCAATTTGAAACTTTTTCTTAGTCACAATTTTTAAGTGTCTTCTTTTAAACAGACCTAGAGTTCATTTTGTTTCATGCTTTAATTGGATAAAAATATTGAAGGGAAAACGTCGAAGATGTAATTTTTAATTAAGACACAAATTTCAGTGCAGAAAGGTCGTATAAAATGTACTGTGGCGCCAAAAGAAGCGTATTGATCCCCATTTTTTGATTTGAATTTTAATTAATATATGTATCTAGAAACTAAAAATATACTTGGCAAAAAAGTTTAAAACTTTGAATATCAGGATCGAACGTCGTTAAGGCCAGACTTACGTCCTTGAAAACGAGCAAGGATGCACATGCGCATACATATCATAAAGAGAGAGAGAAGAGAGAGAGAAATTTGTTTGATATTCATATGCATTGAAAAGATATATGGAAAAGATCACATATTCTTCTTTATTATTTATTGCAATATTTGTTTTGAGGTCTATAATAAAAACATAAAAGTTGAAACATATTTAGATTGAAAATAAATCGTAGATTGAATTATGTTGAAAGGAATACATTCGCAACTGTGTTTTGTAGTGAAATAAAGAATTTAAGAAACCTCTCTCTCTCTCTCTCTCTCTTTCTGATCTGTCATATTGATTTCCATAGCGTTTTCTTAAATAATGTGAATTTCGTAACAAACAAACATGTAAATATCGATATTGTCGTCTGCAATATTCGCTATTGACTCTGCACAATCAAAATGTCTTCGGAGAGTAAAAAACGTAAGCCAAACTGGACTGATGATGAAATGAAAATTCTAACATCTTGTGTAATTGAAAACAAAGATGTATTATTTGCACAACTGTCGGCATCAGTGACAAACGAGAAAAAGAAAGCTGTATGGGAAGACATCACAAAGCAGTAAGCATTTAGGTTTTTAAAATAACGATCAATAAAAATATAATAACAACTCCGATTTGATTACATACAATTTGTTCATGTCTACATGTTACATATAATGTATATTTATGGTCAAAAACCTAACTAAATTGGCAAAAATAGGAATGTTTTTTAGGTTTTGTGTATTTTTGTATATTTTTTTTAATTTCTAACAAAAAATATACAAATGAAGGTACATGTAGACTGGGGATTCAAAAATATATTTAGTGTTAAAATTTTACTGCAGAATAAATTCTTCTTCTGCCTTGTGCAAGAGGGAAACAGAAGAAATAAAAAAGAAATGGAAAGATGCAAGATCCATTGTAAAGAAGAAAGAAGCCAGTAGAAAATACAAGACGAAGAGAACGGGCGGAGGTCTTCCCCCGGAATCTGTATTCAAGGCATGGGAACTTGACGCATGTGTTTTCTAATATTTACCTAAAATTGATATAATTATATGTACTATGTATTAAAAAAAACGTTTCGATCGTTGCTAAGATGAGTTTCCGATACTGACATAATTATTTTTTCATTAATGTTTCGCACCGTTTATTTTTTTAATAAATTGGAAAAGGCAACAACTATTTTTTTGTTTTTATTGCTAGATTTTGTCAATTATACCGGATGAACTTATCTCTGGGATTGACGGAGGGGTTGATAATGCCTTTGCCAGTAATTCTGAAACAAGTATGTATAAATACATGGTACATGCATGTACACTGTAAACATACGTTCACTACATGTATTTCTATAACCTCATAATGTTGCCTTCCCGACTTTTGCTTCATATACTATTTGATTTTCTATGCTTTGTATATTTAGTATTATTGTAGTATACAGTAGTTATAGTATAAAAAATTGAAATATATGATATCTAAATACTAGTATTTCTTTGTAACAGATAACTTCCGCTGGAATTCCATCCTTGATTGGTTTGTATATTATACATATTATATAATATACTTATAAAATTTTAAATCATAAAAATTATTATACTAGATTGTCAAAAATTTGATATGCATGTTCTTCACACGCGGAACACATAAGTGTGTAGATTTGAAATATTGATTTGTTTTTTCAAATTAAAAAATGTATGTTTGTACATGTATATAGTAGAAGAAGTTGACGTTCCGGAAGAAGCTCCAAGTGTACATGTGTCCAGGCCTTCCACCGACACATTCTCTGCTTCAACTCTGTATGGATCCAAACGTAAAGGTAAAAAAGAAACAATGCCAACGCTATGAAAATGAATTAAAAATGTATTAAACATTCCTTCAGTTTTAATTTTCGCGTAATTTTATGTTTGTTAAGAAAAAAACCCTAGTGAACTGTTTCAACTTCATTCATGCACTTTTAACTATTCATATTACACATATGATTTTATTTGATTTTCTTCTGTTTCAATTGACATTGTTCTGATTATAAAACTTTTCATTAAAAATCAAGACACGGCCAGCAACCCCGACGCTGAGTTTATACTGAATTTGATAGAAGTGAAGAAGAGAAGAGCCATCGCAGAGGAGAGAAAAACAGATGCCCTAGAGAGAATAGCGGCGGCATTTGAAAACAAATTTGGCATTTAATAAATTGGAACACAAAATGATAAAGTAGTCATGTTCTTTATTACAATGTAAGTGTGTGATTTAATGAATAGATGAATTGTTAAAATAAATTTGCAACTTGAATGCGCACATCCTGTGCTCTCCTTGGTGCGTTTGCGTTAAGCACGGCATTGTCATTGATGTTCTGTACAACCCCACCCTCAAGTAAGGGGAATTTCTCTGAAACAGCTAAATTATGAAGCAGGATACAGCATTGAATAATTTGAGAACATCTACTTGGTGAAAAGGGGAGTACTCCTCCAGTTCGATGTAAACACCTGCAAAGATTTACTTGAATGTAAATACTGTGGAATCATTAGAATTCGTGGTGGCTCAATTTTCGTGATATTCGTTGGTAGCCCCCTCCCCCCAAACAACCACGAATTTACATCTTCACAGGAAATTTAGAAAGAGATATCTTTGTTACTGAATCTGAAAACCGACCCATACACGAAATTACATCTCCACAAAAAACCCACAATCTAAGAAAATTGGCCCACAGAATTTTAAATGAATTCACAATAAAATTGTAACAAGGTTTATTTATGGTTGCAACAGATATACATTTTTTCTTCAAATAAAAAAAAATTAAGGTCGCGTTTATCGTAATGAACGTTTGAAATAAAATATTTGCTTGCAAATATGACATATAAAGATGTTTAACGAAAAATTGCGTTTAAATACCTAAATCTGAATTTTAATACCCCAAACGATTTTTCTATGACAACACGAGTCTTTCTATGGGCATCGTTGTAATTCACTTCGTGTTGATTGGCTGGGGATAAGAATGGCGTTAAGAGCCTTTCCTTGAGAGGGTAGCCAGAATCCTGAAGTAACCACCCACCCCCTTCGAGATGTTCCATAACACCTGACAATCCCAAGTTGCTCTACGTGCTAGTATTTATGTTTTAATCAATACCGTTTATACCTCATATTGGAATCTTTACGACCTGAATATTTAAGGCATGAAAGTTTTTTCTGCATACAAAAGCAGGCTCCTGTGGTCCACTCATGCCCTTAATTAATATTAGAGTACCATCGATTGCACCAACGCAATTTGGAAATTTGGCAATGTCATAGAACTCAGATTTTACATGGCGTAATTCATTGGCAGTAACTGGAAACTTAATGTTGTCCACTGTTGTATTTATTGCAACAAAATAATCAATTATTTATATCCCTCAAAATTAGATTTTTAAGGGTTTTTTGTATAAATATTTCTATCCTAAACTATGTTACAAAATATTCTTTAAGTATATTAAAGCGAATTTCAGTTATTTTACGTCCATGATGGATACCAAAATAATCGTCAGATTATGCACAATTTTAATTTGTCAATTTCAATTTCATATTTTTACTTTGATTTGATTAAAAAAAATCGGTTTTCAAAACCCTAACACGATTATGAAAGAACTTCAAAGCCATTGATTGTTTACCAGTGACTCGGGGTACACAGTAATGACACCTTTTGTCTTTTTCACTGACCACTAACAGTGGGACGGACAACTTCGGAATGGACATTTTTCCGAACTTGCGCACCCTTTTCCTTTAAAGCTATCATCTTCGGGTTTTTTTTAAATGGTGGGGTTTTTATAATCAAATTGATTTATGAAAAAAAAAATTCAACATTTTCTGCTAGTTTTTGAGATATTTGAGTTCAAAAAAAAAATCCCATGGGGAAACATGAACTTAAAAATACCCCACAAAAAACCCCACAAAAACCCCATGGGGTTTATTTTTCACCCCATGGGGTTAAATAACCCATATTATTTTTCGTGGGGTTTTTTAACCCACGTCTCACTAAAAATAAAATGTGGGGTTTATTATCCCATAATTTTTTATGTGGGGTAAAAAAAACCCACATTATTTCTCTTAATGCTTGTAATTATCAAGTAAGAATTATAAAATAAATATTGTTTGGAGTTGCAACATAAATTAAGTGCAATACATGTACATTTTTTATCAACTTTGTAACAATTTAATTAATTAATTTTTTTTTCAAATTCATTGATATAGTATAATACATTTTATGACTGCATATGTAAATTAGACATGGCATAAGCATGATAAGAAGGGAATTAAATTATACTTTTTTTGACTGACCCGTAAGTGAAAAAGTAAACAAATACGGATTAAAAGTTTGAAAGTTAATCTAATATTCCAAGTGGGGGAAAGAAATGAATATAAAAAAAGACATTGGAGGCGGTACAGGCAATTTCATCAGAAAAACAATGTAAAAAATAACGTGACTTTGTTTACGCTAGTGTAGCTCACAGGTTATTGTTTTCACTATTTTACTGATAAAACTGCCGACTCCTCAGTCCTGTGACCTGTTATTGAACACTGTTGATCGTGAATCACACAGTAATGATAGTTGTTCTACTTACATGTAGTTTAGTTTGAGCTCTGCTGTTTGTAGCATAATGGACTTGATTCAAACAAAGACAAAAACTTCTCTACTTTTCAAAGAATGTTTTTGAAATTGATTGAAAGAGACCAAATCAAATCATAACTTGTGCTACTTCTTTACTTGATAATTCCTCATTTTGGCACCATTGTCACCCACATTTTTTCTTTCCTTATGCATAAGTCGTACTCTAAGAAACATATGGGTGACTCTGACAAATAGCGTAAAATTCAAAGACTAAACTGTTAAATTTATCCGGAATTTGTTTTTCAGCTACACTGACAAAAGTTAAGTATATTATACCTATAGATGTTTATGCCCACTGGCCCTGAATTGGGAATAAATCCCATTATATTCCATTCTAAATAATCTGTAAATGCAGTAGCTTCTCAATCCTAAACCAGAAAAATGCTTTCTTTAAAGTGATTAAAAAAACCAGTTCGTCTTCTTTCATCTCTTTTTTTATGATTTAAATTTATTAATTCCTTTGAAAAAAGCTATAAAAGTATTATATTGCATATAACATGCAAATAGGACCAATTATTACCTGATTATATGTTTGAATGATCATTACTATTTATAATTAAAAAAAAAAAAAGACCCATGGGCCACATTGCTCACCGGAGCACTTTGGGTAGGAATTCAGTATTGAAAAGTTTGGCCCCAATCTACCACTTAGGGGGCATGGTTTGAAACTTGAATAAACTAATTGATGATGCTATGACATTTCTTTGATTAACTGTGGTTTAAAAACATTTCTTAACCTTTTCCCCTCTATGTTTTCACTGATATTGTGGCCCCACATACCCCTTGGGATCATGATTTAACAATTCAACTGACAGATGGACAGATGACTACATACAAACTACAAACAATTGAATTTAAATGGTTTAATTAATTTCTTATAAATATAACAACAAAGCAACAACAATGAATACAACTGAAATGTCACTTTCATGTGGTCTTCTATATCACTTCATTGTGTAGATTATTAGGGTCTAATGTGTACTATAAGGACTTTTTTTACTGTGTAAACATGGTATAAATGAATTTTTAATCATGGTGGCATTTGGAAGGTGTTATGGAATGAAAATACCACACCAAGCAAATTAACATGAAATAAAATGAAAGAAAAGACCTATAGCCCTCAAGGTTTCACCGGTCAGCATGATCAAGGACTCTAATAAATTCATTCAATGCGCATACAGGTACGGACTGACTATATAAAATCTAATATTTATTTTTGAATATTAATTATGTCTATAAGGCAGCTATAAAGCTCCTCCGTTTTTCAATAATTTATTTCAATTTTTAAAACTTATAGCCTTGAGTAGAAAACAGTCTCTCATTTCCTTAAATATTTCAAAAATATATATATAAACAAATACTTTGATAAAGTTAGAATTACTAAATACAAGAAATTTATTCCAAATTAGCTAAATATCATTGAAACATATAAAAAAAAAAGATATGGTCATTTAAAGACAGAGAATTTTTACCAGGTAGTATTTTTATTCCAGGTGAGGGAGGGGCTAATTTTATACAGGTGTGAATACCTTGGAGCTAGCAGTCTACCTGAATGGATACACAGTGGAATACCCTAGGTGTCAAACTTTACCTCTGTTAGGGATTTTAATAATTTTAAAATAAGTAGTAAAAAGGTTTCTCAAGTATTAAAATATTGAATTATTTTTTAAGATTTAAAAACACCCCTATCCATTAAAAAAAAATATTATATCATACTATAAACTGCCTTTATGAGAACTCACCAGTATATATGACTGTTTGAGGATAATCTTCCTAGGAAAATTTCAGTCCTTATTTTGCAATTTATAATTTTTGATTTAGAAAGTTCATGCTTTTACAAGAAAAATAAAACAATACTTGCCAAATTTCATTGAAAAGGAAAAACTTATGACCATTTAAGAGTCAACACACTGGTACGATCGACTGAGTATCATAAACCTGGTGATGGATTCTCCCCGTGTACATTTCAGTTTTCTTACAATTCATCATGTAAGATTTAGAACGATTATGCCATTGCAAGAAAAATAAAACCATACTTGCCAAATTTCATTGAAAAATAAGAAAGTTAAATGGCCAGTTAAGAGAACATGATGATGGATTCTCCCTATATAAATTTATGTTCTCTTTTAGTTTTACAATTTATCATTTTAGATTAAGAAAGACCATACTTTTACAAGAAAAATAAAACCATACTTGCCAAATTTCATTGAAAAATAAGAAAGTTAAATGGCCAGTTAAGAGAACACACCTGTACGATTGACTGAATATGACATGATGATGGATTCTCTCCATGTAAATTTCAGTTCTTTTACAACTTATCATGTAAGATTTAGAAAGTTTATGCCATTGCAAGAAAAATAAAACCATACTTGCCAAATTTCATTGAATAATGAAAAAGTTATGGCCAGTTAAGAGAACACACTAGTACGATTGACTGTGTATAACATGATGATGGATTCTCCCTATATAAATTTGTGTTCTCTTTTAGTTTTACAATTTATCATTTAGGATTAAGAAAGACCATACTTTTACAAGAAAAATAAAACCA